CCACATGAAACATAATGAAGGAACGCAAGCCTTTCCTTTGCTCCGCTTCGGCTGTTCGGCAGCTAATGGCGCCTGCCTGCCATTATTCCAAGATAACCATCTCCTGTAATTCTCACAGCCAGATTCGCCCAGGAGGAGGTGGAGGTTAGGATAGGGCAAAACACAGGCAAGATCCAGCAGAAGGATGAATCAGCTCAAATGCAGGGCGGGGTTTGGACGGGGACTGCGATTGTCACGGGCAAGACGGGGAGGGGGGCGCCGGCTTCGCTTCCTGCCCAAAAAAGACACGGAGACAGAAACTCAGACTTGTACTTTGGGAAAAGAAAACCACTGTAAGAAGGAATGTGCTTCAGCAGAACCATTTCCGGAAAGGCAGCCCTGGGTTTCTCTGTTGCGGCAAAACCAACGAAGAGTGTTGTGGCACCTTAAAGACCACCACCTTTATTTGTGGATTTTGTGGCAGATTATAGTCCAGAAAACCTTCTGCCGAAATAAATGCGTCTCTCTTTAAGATGTCATAAGATGGCCTAGCTAAAGCAACTTCCTTGGAGGCTGCTGTAATGACAGAACATCCTTCAGGTGAATTGTTTTCATTGTTGCTATTAAGATAAGGAATATTTGGCCTCTGAGGAAGGTAATTGTTGAAACATGCTGGGCACACCAGTTATCCTAAGTGTTTATTCCAGAGCATGAGTCTGAGGTCTGAGTGCTCCTTTCTGCTTTAGAAGCGTTGTGTTGCATCCGGTGCTGGATTTGCCTTGGCTTGAAAGCCACCCAATTTAGACCCGTGTCATGGGGCACTTTCCCTTTCCAGCCATGCAATTTGGCTAGCTTAAACCCACTCACTTCGCTGCTATTATCAACGATGCAGGCAGAAAAAAAGCGCACTGTATTTGCATTTGATAAAGGGAGAGGAAGAGGAGGAAGACCAAACGTGCGATGGATCGATTCTATAAAGGAAGTCACAGCCTCAAATTTGCAAGCGCTGAGCAGGGCTGTCCAGGACGGGACATTCTGGGATGTCTTCATAAGTCAGGGACAACTTGATGGCATGTAACAACGTGGCTTAACAGCAGAGTAAATGCAGGTTCAAGGTTCAAGCCCTGGCAACTCCAGCTAAGCTGAGCAGGCAGCCAGGTGGCCCTGTGTCCTGCTTTACAGAGGACTGTTCATTCTCTGAAGGCAACCTCTGTTTGAAGAACTGCCCCATCCGTTTTCCATTTAAAGACAGTCAGTGTTGGAAGGTGGTTGAAGGGCCGGACTGGGGCTCAGGAGATCTGAGTTCTAGGCTCCATTTGCCATGAAGCTCACTGGGGAACATTGGACCAGGCTTGCGCCCCCCAGCCTAGCCTCCCTTAGGATAAAATGGAGAAGAGGAGAAACCTTTCAGGCTCCTGGCAAGGGGGAAAAGAGCGATAGAATTTTAACATAGCAACACTCCACGTGAACCGTTGCCCATCCAGAGGTAGCAGTAACATAGCATGCGAAACGGTCAGACACACAATCACCATCTTTCCTCTAATACTTTATTGTGCCATGGACTGTATTTCAATTTTAATTATACCCATTAGTCTAAATTTGCATCTCTACGTATAAAGAGGGAGATGCCAATTTTTATGCAACTGGCATCTTCCTGTGTCCTCTTTTGGGGCAATGCAGACATGTCCACTCTGCAGGCAAAGTGGCTTTGTCTGTGATCCTGGACTCACCTTTTTGAAAAGCCAAGTGCCTTACTCCAGTTGATTTACTTGCCAATTTGCCTATTTTCTTGCTGCATTTTTTTACTGCACACACACCCCTACCATGGGGAATATTCTAAAATAGCCCATTCAGTCAGTACAACTATTATGATCTAAATGAAATCTCTACTGAAAAAATCACACTAATATAGATAAGAAGAACACAACACATAGCTGGAAAAGGAAAAAAAAATCTTAAAGATGCTGAAACGAAGCTCAGCAACAAATTTCAGTTCCTTTTCTCCAAGAAGCTCAGCCCTGAGCTCATAAGAAAAGGGATCTGTGACTGATTGCAGTTCATTGGCATGTAAGCGAGGGTGGCCAGGTGCCAGGACAGCTCTCTATTTTGAGGCATCCTCCATTGGAAGGACTGTCCGGTTTGGGCTTAAAGATACATCATCAGGACTGTTGCCCACCTGCAGTTAGTACCTGGAGAGAAGCCTGATGAGTCAGGCATGAAGGGCAACGGGGTGCTGCCTTTTTTAAAAGGACAGTCCTCTTCCAGAGGCCCGGAGTCCAGAATCCATTTGGAAGAGGACGGCTGTGGACAAAGCCCCTTTGCATTTGAAATTCGGAGCTGGACTTGAGCCGCTGAGCTACCCCCCTGCCATCTTTTCCTTTAAACCGCCAGGGCCATTCTGGCAGCGAGCACAGAGGAAGGAAGCCTCAGGCTGAGCCAGCCTCTCTCCTCTCTTCCCAAGGAACTGCTGTGGATAGGGACATTTCCACGGTCCTTGGTATTGCTATTTTTTTCCTTTAGGCCCTCAGAAGCAACAAGGAGCAGGAATAGCCTGACCCGCAGTTAGCCAGCTTTCAGCAGTATGTTTATCAGCCCCGTCCCCCGAGTCTCTCCACACAAACAGACCACCCACACGATGGCCTCAGAAGACCTGGCGCAGACGGCAGATTTCCCTCCATGCCTGTCTGTCTGTGTGTGCATAATGCGCGCCAAAGCAGATGGAGCGGACGGACTGTCAGGGGCCGGCCTGTCTGTTTACTACACAGCCCCGGAGAACAGCTAAACAATTTTATTTCTGTGTTTATAACCATGGTGGGTGAAAGCTAGAATAGAAGCAAGTGACTCAGCACCCCCCCCCCCCCACACACACACGGTCAAGGTAGCAAAGTGCAGTGGCCAGGGGGTGGGGAACATTTTTATAAAAATATGGAAAGGGTCACCACTGCAGATCCGTCTTTGGAATATTTGCACCCCACTACTCTGTTCTGCAAAAGGGGCGTTTGAAGTGACAAATAACCGGCATAAATAATCAAAGCAACAAAAATAAAGGGCGAGAATGACTCCTGAGCAGAGAGCAAATGGAGCAAATTGCTCTCCGTCACTTCCGGAGGTAGTGGCTATTGTACCTCCGCCAGTCCCTCCAACTGCACACGGCAAGGCTGAGGGACAGCAGAGCTGGAGCCAAAAGCGGGGCTCTGAGGTGCAAAAGAGGGAGGGACAAGATGCTCAGGGAAACCCCAATTACGTGGAAGTTCAAAAGAGGCATAAGCACCCAGGAAGCAAACCCTGCAGAAGATCAAGCCGTTTGGGACAGAACATGCTGAAGAGCTGCAGCAAGTTGAACGTCAGCTGGAAAAGAAAAGCAAAAACCGGAGAGGCGGCATGGAGCGCCCGTCCAGGACTCCTTCACTGCCTTTCCCAGCCTTGGGTCTCCGGAGGTCAGACGAGAATTCCCATCATCCCTGAATGGAAGCCCTCCCAAGCACCCCATCCATGACTCCTCCGCCAAGCTGCTCTAAATGCAAGGCTGTGGCTTCCTTTAAGGAGTTGGTCCACCCCCTTTTGCCTTTCCGTCTCTTCTTCTGCCTCCACCTTTCTCACCCAGCAATACCTGGACTCCCAGCTCCGGATGGCCTGGATGGTGTTGCTCTGGCTAACTGCCTAGCTGGGAGCCACCCTGCGCAGCTGCCATCCCACTGGGAGAGAAGGGCCGACTGCAGAGTTTTGCTGCCGGCCCTGCTTGTGAGTACCAGTTGGGCATAACAACTCTGGCCAAAGGCACACTACAAATTCATATCAGTTGTAAACCTTCATGGCTTCCCACCACGAATCCCAACGTTCTGGTTCTGTGAGGCTGCTGAGGATTCCTTCGGAGGTCCCTTTAAAAAACCAAGCTCCATCCATGTTCAGACATAGTTAAGGAAAATATGAAGCATGGCAGTTGCATGTAACAGACGGGGGAGGGTGGGGAGCGGGGGTGCCTTTGGGCTAGAAGGAAACGCTTCAGCTTTATTGAGAAAATGGCATTTCAGGCCACGGCTGACACGGACGCGTGACACGAATGGGAACTGCGCTCGGGCATGAGCACGCACCCGCGAGTGCGGCACTTCTGCTTTCTGCCTTTCATGAGTGCTCAGCTCCTAGAAATGTTTGTCTCTCATGCAAAACATCCCTTCCCTGTAAGATGGCCTGAAAGGGTCAAATTCTTGACGGATGGCCCTGCCTTCTTCTATTAGCCATGGCAGCATCGCTCCCTCTGGTCTGCCCTCTGCCTGGTCCACAACACGTTCTAGCTGGGGCTGCAGCTTGCCTGCGCTTCTCCGTCCTGCTCAACAGACCAGTCTGTGGCTGGGCCAGAGGGAAACCTTAGGGCTGTTCGGGGTATGAGAGCCTGCCAGGGGGTCCTGCTCCCCCCACCCACTCATCCGAGGAGACCCCAGATCATGGGACTGGGCTGGACCAGTTGCTGGCAGGCAGCTAAACGGCACGTCCATGGACAGAAATGCTCTCTCTCCGAGTCCCAGAGATGAAGGACAAAGGATGGAGTCGCCAGCGCTTCCTTGGGCTGCTGGTGCACTTTTCGGAAACATCTGATTGGCTGCAGGTAGAAGCAGGATGCCAGCCTGGGGAGATGCCTGGCCTGATGGAGTGAGACTTTTATGCTGCATTCCACTGTGGGTTATTGCATACCTTCCCTGCTTTATTTCTGATGCTCAGGCAGCACTTGTGTAGACAAAACAGCACCACCATGCACGAGAGGGTGGTATCAGCAGGTCTCGTGCAGCCCGGAGGTTTCCCAGAATACAGAACATATTACAGTGCATTTCTGCACCGAAATACAGTGCATTTCTGCACTGAAATGCTCCCTGTGCGTTGTTGATAAAAATGCGCCCACCAGTAACAGAGCTGCCATCTTGATTACCGGCTCGCAAAATAAGCAGAGATGTGTGCTGCAGAAGGCCAAAAGTACCGATCCAAAGTAACCTGTTTTCTCTCATTCTCCCTCCTTTCCCCAAAACTAGGTACCTCCGAATTGAGTCCGTTCTCCGATCCGCGCCAGTTCGAACGGTCCTTTCCCACGTTACCGGGGCTCACGGAGACCAGGTTTCCTGACCCCCGGATGCACTACCCCGGTGCCATGCCCGCGGCCTTCCCGTACCCGGCCACACCTTCTGCCACTGGGATCGGAGGCATCAGCATGACCAGCATGCCCACCGCCACTCGGTTCCATCACACCTACCTGCCCCCGCCGTACCCCAGCTCCACCCAGAACCAGAGTGGGCCGTTCCAGGCCAACCCCTCTCCTTACCACTTGTACTACGGAGCATCATCCGGGTCTTACCAATTCTCCATGGTGGCAGGGGGAGAGCGCTCGCCAACAAGGATGCTCTCTTCCTGCCCGAGTGCATCCGCTGGAAACAACTTACTTAATCCCAGCCTCGCCACTCAGAACGACGGCGTTGAGGCGGATGGGAGCCATAGCAACTCCCCCACAACCATGACGACCACCGGAAGGATGGATGAAGCAGTCTGGAGACCGTACTGAGGGACGAGGAAACCGGGCGCCTTCAGGTCCCACTGAATTAACGTGTCCAATGATGAGCTATGTCGCTGGTCGTGGAAGAGGGCCGTAGGCAGCCCTCCCATTTCCCAGAATGCATTGCAAAGCAAGACTGCTCTTGTACTCAGTGTAGGTAGTTAAGTTAATTAAGGAATGAGACTGGAGATGGGCTGAACTTCATATACATTTCAAAACAAACCCACCTTGCTCGCTAAGGTTCCCCTTGACCAATGGTCTATTACGCCGGGAATGTATATAGGGACCTGTAAGGCAGAAATGCCTCGCTCCATGCCGTGGTCAGTGGCTGAGCGTGAAAATCCCAAAGCACCCACCTCAGAGGCTTTTTAAAATGAGTGAATGGATGAGCAAATGAATTGGGTGTGCAGCTGTTCAGGTACTGGAGCAGTGAGAGATTGCTGTGAACAGAAAACAGGCATGTCAGTCGGCACATTTGGGGTGGCCGCGAGGGTGGCAGAGCAGGTGCCTGAGCGGTTTCACCTGTGCAAGAAGCCCTCTTCCACCTGCTCCACAGATGTGAATGGAGCTGCTCTTTGCTTCAACGGAGCTTGTCCCCCCCCCGAGACACAATCCTTTCCAAAGAAATTCTACTGTGATTACGTTGTGCCATTTTGCGTTTCTTGTGTATTTCAACCACCCAAGCATCACGACGCCTCTGCCCACTGCCCTGCACACACACCAGGACCAGCTGCATGGGTGAGGAACTGTGTGTGGAAACAGCTCCCTGCCCAGCAGCTGTAAGAGAAACTGGAATTGTCTTGCGCAGCTGTTCCGGAGAGCTTTGCCGTGCCTTGTTTGCGTCCTGTTACTCCAGATTCCAGTTTCTTTTATGCGCCTGCACTGTTGTGACCCAGTTGAAGTGTGTACACGCCCCAGGTCCAGTTCTCACTGAGGTGGTAAACCCGTGTCCATAGCAGAACATTTTCGTTTGCCACGAGCACTCATAGTGCAAGGCTTGCCCGTGAAAAACTCTTGCTCACGTCTAGCAGCCCAGGGGGAACGTTCACTGGAACAGTGCAGTGGACAGTTTTAGATCTTGGACTTCCTGGTTTTGCAGATGGGTGTCTCTTTCAACAGTCACCTGTATTACTTTAATGAAGCATGCCTTTAACATTTCTCCCCTGACATCCTATGCTTTGCAAGAGTGTCATCATTCCTGATAAGTTAGAGAAAGAGAGAGAAAAACTGCCTGCCAGCTCTGATTCGGAAAAAGAACCGTCTGAGCATGTGCAGTTTTGCACTTTGAACTTATTCAAAGCACCCTAATGACTTCCAGGAATAAAACGGAGTCGGTTCTGCTGCCCTGATGTGAAACACATTTGCTTGGGAAGAAGCACTGTTTTGTTACAGAGAAGGATAATATATTTTTAAAGTAAAATAATAAAATGAGCCACTTACGGCCCAGTAAGTGAAAAGGATACCGTGGGAACCAGCTCTGGAGCACCTTGGCATGGCCAGGCCAGCCCAGGTGCTGAGGCCCAGCTGGCTGGCTGCTGCTCCCTCACCTGCTGCTCTCTGGCGGTCGCGGGGCGAGCATCCCTGGGCTACGGGCGCTGGACACTGGTCCACAGGCCCAGCACTAAGTGCACCTCTTGCTCTTTCTCCCTGGCTGGCTATCGGATGCATGAGCTGAAAGCCTCTCTCCTGTTCCCCTGACGCTGATGCACCTGCTGGCCACAGCCCTTCATCAGCTGTGTGAACCCCATTCCTCTCTAAGATCTGAGGCTAATCTTCATCCCCAGGAATCCTGCTGGGCCGGGGATGGCTGGAAGCCCGTTCTGCAGTCGGCTGCACTTGCCGGGGCCCTCCCAGGGGAGCTTCCTGTGCAGGCCTGCGGACGGGACGGGCACACAGCTCAGTGCAGAACTGGGAAGGTGCCAGGTCAAACGCTGATGCTGGGAATGGACCATCTGGTGTCTGGGTAGGGCTGTGCAAGACCCCCGACTGGCTTGTCTAAGCACCCTTGCCAGTCAGTGCAGACCAGGGTGGGCAGCGTGCGCCCTGCCTCCCCCTGCCCCTGTATATAATAGGGAAAAAAAGGCAGACGGAGCAGCAAAAAGGCTCTGCCGGTACGACAGTTTCTCTTTCTCCCGTTTAGGAAAAATCTATTCGGATCACCCAGCAGCCTGCAGCCCCACGTGGGCCACCCCAACTGTGCAGATAAGACCGGGCTAGATGGGCAGGGGATTTTTTGCATAGAGGGAAGCTTTCGGTCATTTAAGCTCCTCCGTGTAGGCTTAGCTTTACCACGTCAGTGAGAACAAAGCTCTTGTTTCCCCTGAGACGGGAAGGTTGCGCTGGGGGCTTGGTGCTCCATGTCTGTGCCCAGAAATGCCCTGGAAAAGGAGCCTGGCTCCTGCATCGTCATCACCCCCGACTCAAATTGCAGAGCAAGAAAAAGACAGCTTTTGGTGGCGAGGGAGATGGGGAGCGTTAGTTCTCACCAACTCTCTTTGCCCGAGGACGCCGCCCAGACTTAATCTCCATTCCTGAAGCCCATAGGACGCCTAGTAGAGCCCAAAACGGTGCCACAAGGAGGCCGCTTGTGCCTGCACCCGGGGCCCCGCTCCAGGAGAGGAAGGCCAAAAGCCGCAGCCCAGCACTGCCCCTCTGGAGAGCCTCTGCCCTGCCCTGCCGCCACCTGCTGGTTCACCTGCCTCGCTCTGGCCCCCCACAGGGGATGGGGAGTGGGAGCAGGGGCTGCGACAGCAGTGGTGGCCAAGATAAGGCGGGAGGCAAGGAGTCGTGCCAGCAGGTGCCTGAGGGAGGGGCGCCTTTCCAGGGTCTTGCCAAGTCTGCCCCAAACTCTTTTGGGACCTCCACCTCTGCCCCCATCGCCATTCATGCGTGAGACTCTGGCCATGCAGAAGTCCCGCAAAGGAGCCAGCTGCCTTCTTTGGGCCTCACTGTGATGGGCAGAGCAATCTTGAAGGTTTACAGACAGTTTTGTACATTTGGGGTTAGTCCTAGTAAAGGATTAACCCTTGATTTGGGAAATAAAATTAGTCCCCAGTCTGGGTAATGCACCATCTCCAGCCATGGGGCTTGTGTGGCGCGGAGGATGGGCAGTGGGGGTTTGTTGCATTCTAGAACCTTCCATGCTGATGTGAGAGCAAATAACTGTTCAGACAACGGAAAAAACTGTGTGCTATTGAATCATTGCTAAAATTTTAATTTAATTTAATTTAAACATTTCTATGCCGTCCTTTGCAACAAGACTCAGGACGGCTTACATATGTGTTATCGTGTTGTCTGAACCCAACCACAATAGCAACCCATGGTGAACAACCCAACAACAAGCCATGGGTTTTCTATATGGGTTGTTTCTAGTGAACATGCCATGATGAGCTAACACAGCTGGGTTCAGACAACACGAAGCCCATAATTCAACCACAACCCACACCAAGCCCTTGAGTGTGGGTTAACCTGTCTGAATACAGTTGTGCTGTCATGAGCTACAACAGCTGCATTGGTTTTTATATGGTAACATGAATAATCCAAAATCTGAAAAACCCAAGCCTTTTGTGAGGGAAGGAAGGAAGGAAGGACGGAAGGCAGGATCTTTGTTTTCTTAATAAGAGTTTGCTGTTGTGTTCTTAATTTCTTTCTGCCTCACTCTGAGTGACAGATGAGTCCAAAATCAAAAGTGTTCAGGACTTAAAAGGTACAAACTCCACAAGCCCTACCCTTTTAGATTTATGCTGGATTGTGATGTGCTGGTATGAAGAAAAACACATCTGTTTTATGCAAGCGGTCAAGCGGTATTGGCCTGTTTTGTTTCCTGCTTTGCACTATAATATGCTTCTTTTTAAAAATTGAATGCACAATTGCTTGTACAGTAAAAAATGTCTGGCTCATGGAATATTTAACTGTAAAAAATTAAATTTACTTTGGTGTTTATTTGTTATAATAATATAATTCTAGAAAAAAAATTCTGAAGGATCCCAATTCTTAAATAAGGCTTAGGATTTATGTGTGGAATGGTTTTGTTTGCATTTTTTAACAGAAAGATAATTTGATTAGCAGCAGCAACAGAATCCCTGTAGATATGCTGTGTTTTAACACAGCAAAGTCTGGATGGTTTGTTTTAACTTCCTTGTGTTATTAATGGAGCTGATTTTGAGGATGAATATTTTAAAATATGTTAATAATATTTAAAAGGTGAGGGTCTGCACCAAGGTGGTGTCTCTCTGCCCGTGTTTTGCCTTTTATGTGTAGCACTTACAGCCACCTGGGGCAGAGGCCTTGCTGCAGAAATTCCAGTCTCAGCTTGGAGTTTTGTGAAAACATGGCCCACCGTCCCCACTTCTTGCCCCTCCATTTGGGCTGCCCCCTTGCAAAGCTCAGAGTCTGCTGCGGCAAAGGGCAGCCTCTACACAAGAGCAAACGGAGCCTCGTCCAGCCAACCCTGCTCGTGGCACGTGGGGGGGTGTCAGTCTGTAAGGAGCCATAGCCAAGCGGTCAACCCTGCATTTCTGTTTCTTGAAAGAGAAAAAGGTTCATGTCCTGGATCAAATGTACATGATTATATTGCTAGGTGTTACATGTAATCATTTTAATGCCGTGTGGAATAAATAAATGTATGGTTTCCAACTGATGCATCGTCTCTTGCTTCGTGTTGAACTCGAGGCGTGGATGCGGGTCAGATTGTGCTGCGCCTCCACCCCACCAAGCAGCCCATTTGTGTGATTGCAGCTCTCGCACACGCACAGCACGCCCAGGATCTGGGCGCAGAGCTAACGCCAGCGAGATCCTGGGATGTCAGCTGAAGAAGCAGCAGCGTTGGACCCACAGTGCGCTCTCCTTGCTGGCTGTTTTGTTGCTCTTCCAGCCTTTGAAGAAAGGCTTGTGGAAATTTTAACAAGGGATGGCTCCGCTTTCCCCCTTTCCTGTTATTTGAGCACTGCAATGAGAGGCATCCAGTGTTCCTTGTGCAACAAGTGGTTTCACATGACTGTGATGGCATAAGACAAAGGACAGCATGATCGTTCCTTCTCCCGGTGCAAGGCAGATGTAACGATGCATCTCTGGAAGCACAAAACAGTCTGAAATTTAGGTGAGATTTTCAAAGACCCAGATAAGGAGAGCGGGAAGAGGAAACTGGGACCTACACACCAGCCAGACGCTGATGCTATTCAGCCCAGCTCTAGTTGCCAGTTCCCAGATCCAATTTCTTAGGTGCCCCTTTCTATTGTTCCCCTGACACCTCTGCATTATGGTGCACAAAAGGTGATCCGGTGTATATTCCAGTACAGATGAATGGCGTGCAGAGTCCCTCATCCTGCAAGGTAATCCCCGTGCAAGAGGCTGCTTACATGCCCAGCGCTCCCTTTCTGGATCAGGGCCATGGTGTCATTTGCTCTGTGTGATTACTAAGGTCATTAGGAAGGGGTGGATTCAACTCAAATGAAAGCAAGAGAAAGAGAGGAATAATACAGTGAAAATTTCAACACCATTTATTTTCATACCTGATGCTACTTTGAATGCTTAATCCTAGAAGAGCAGAGCTGGAAGGAGCCATGGAGGCCATCAGGTCCAACCCCTGCTGTTGCAGGACACCAATCTGTGAAGCCGTACTTTTCAGAGCCTTTGTGCGCAACGGGGGGGGGGGATACAAACACTCCCACCCTAACCCACCTAACCCCTTAAATCCCTTCCATATGGAGCCTAAAATGCAGGGACACCTTTTCTACACAATGTCCGTGTTACACAATTTTGTAACGTTTGGATCATCTACATGAAATTTAGCCTGTGCGCGTGTTGTCGTTCTTTTGAGAACACTCCATGCTCCACAGAGCCCGCAATCTGCATAGTTCACGACATAAGCGGCAGCTCTTGCTGGGGCCTGGCAATTATTCCGACCCTCTTTGCGCGCATTGCTGCACGGCCGTGGCTGCATTTAGAAGAAACCACAAGAAACGCTCAGGCGGGTGAGAATCCTGCTTCACAGCCTTGACTAACGGAAATAAGTTTCTGGTGCAGCCTGCAGAGAACAGAGCCACCTTTTTTTCACAGCCACTGGGAGAGGAAACACACACCCCCACCCAGGGTGTGACCATTATTTGTAGGAACTTTCCGTTCCAAATTGATTTGAGCCTCTCAGGGCGTGATTTAAGGACGAAAGAGTCATTTTGAGGGTTTTGGGGGGAGAGTGGGCTTAGAAGAAGAGACAAGATGGAGGGACCCTGGAAAGCCTTTGTTGTGGTCGCCTGTAGCTTATAGCCAAGTCCACTGGGACTGCCTGTCCCAGCTTGACAATCCCTAAAGTTAAGAAACTTTCCTAATTAACTCGCAATTTGCTAAGAAGAGATGCCTAAATAACAATTTAGGGCTTTGATGGCCCTTAAAATTTGTGTCTGTATTTATGAATAAGTCTGAATTTATCTCTGTATTTCTTTATAATCTTTATTTTAATAAATAATAGCAATAATTGGCTATACCTTCAGACAGAGGGCAGGCCTTCAAGGAAGACTCACCACTGTGAAAAAGGACACCTGGGGCCCCTCCTGGAAAAGGCAAGGTGGACAAACGGAGCCATCCCTGAAATGGCACCTGACCTTTGGCATGCTCTGTGCAATGCAGAAATGGGGGCCTGTGGCAAACCCTGGCGCTCGCCCCCACCTCCCTTCACGTAGATTTACCTCCTGGTCTTAAGCATGTCAGCGCAAACACAGTCCCAGTGAGTTCAATATGACTTGTTTCACAGTAAAGCTCCTGGAATCTCTGCCAGGAAACATGTTCTTGTATTGTGCAAAGCACCTTTATTGTCCATTTGCTGGAATCGTGCAGCAAGAAGATAGAATCCAAATTCATTCAGGTTAGGGCTGCCAGCAGATCGATGAGGAGATTTTAATCAGCATATTTGCCTTTGGATCCCTTCATTAAAAATGGCAGCAGTTTCACTTTCCCATCCTTATGGGTGTCTCTCTCCAGAGAACCACCTTCTGCTTGTCCCAAAACAGAAGGTTGCTGCCAAAATCAGAGTTCATAAGCCTTCTAACACCTGCCTTGCCAATACTGTTTTCCCTGAGCCTGTAAACATGTGCAAAAATGAGTCTGGCAATGTATGTACGTAAGATTCCTAATTATCAAAGGGAGGCAAGACAGTGGCTGAAAAGCTGTGGGAACAAAAATCTCCTGTAGGGTTAGAATTCTGCTTACTGCACCTGCAGCATAGCACCCCCTTGTGGTTGGTGTATAGAAACTATAGAAAGGCAGAAAAATACAAGCTGGGCGGCAGGGGAACAGTGTGCAAAGGACATTTTTTCCCTTCTGCAATGAACTCGGAAGACGAAAGCCCAGTAAATCGACATGTAGAGAAGGTCCTGCTGTGCTGGTGTTCAGGAGAAAGGAAGATGACGCCATATAGAGGGGTTCTTGGTGTGCTCAGAGCTTTAAGAGGTTATTCCACACCCTGGAACCAGGACAGTGCCTGGGTTTGGCCAACATGATAACCCAGGGGTTGGGTATGGAGTGTGGACTGAACCACAGGATGTTCTTCAGAGATGTGTTAGCAGGTCGTTTGAAGCCAGCTGTGCTAACCATGGTTGGTTAACCACAAGCAACCCACATTTCACAACCCAACAACAAACCCTGGGTTCTCTTTATGGACCTTTTGCTTTTCGATCAGCCATAGTTTGTTACACAGCTGGGTTCAGACAG